AGTCTGGTCTACCCTTGATTGGTTTAGTGTGGACTTGGCAGTGTAGGTTAATGGTTGGACTGGATGATCTTAAAGGGCTTTGCCAACCTAAACGATTCTATGATTCTAAGAGCCTTTTTTGGAGGGGAAAACTGAAAAAAAGCGCCCAAATTCTGGGGGGCCGGGAGCATCTTCTGTGCCCAGAGGGTGTGAGACCCCCCCCAGGAAGCGGCTGCAGGGGTGCTGGGGCTGGGATGGAGACCCTGGAGCTGGGATTGGGCTCTCCATTCCTCTCCGCTTCCCTTGGACAAGGATGAAGGTTCAAACCAAGCCATGGATGAGGTTTATTTGGCGCTGATGGCTATGTCGTGAGGGTGCAGCATCCTTCCAAAACATGGACACCACAAGCCCACGTGTCCTGCTCACCCTCCGCCCATCCACAGAGTTGTCCCACCACTCCCATCCTTGCAGCACTGTTGGGAAAATTCAACCCTAGAGATGGCCAAGCCCCAGCCTGGATGAAAACGAGGTGTTTTGGGTTCAGTGAGGCCACACCAGGGAGGTGAGTGGAAGAAAAGTTTATTGCAGCTGAGTTCTCGTTTATTTTCAGCAGCGCAAAGGGAATAAGAGCAGGACGTGGAGTTGGGCTGTGCCCATCTCCGTCCCTAAGATGCTGCAGGAGCCTCTTCTGAAGCCCTTTGGAAAACTCAGGAGTTTATTCATCCAAAGACAAACCGTAGATGGGCAGGACAGAAGTCACATGATGCCACCGAATAACATCACGTGAAAAAAAAAAACCAAACACCAAACCTGTAAATGAGGAAGAACTCATCCTGGTGTGTCCCAACAGCGTTGTGGGACCATTTCCACCCTGTTTCTTCCTTCCCGAAGAAGCTGAGTCCCAAGTGATGTCTTCAAAATCTTGGTCTGTGCCTAAATCCATCCACCGTTTGGCTGTGGAAGAAGCCCATGGTCCATATGGTGTTGCCTGATGCCAACCAGAAGAATTACTGGACCAAGCAGATGTGACTTTTTGGAGTCTAAAGCCAATGAGTCTGCTCTTCCTAACGAATTTCTGCCCTTGGTCTGCGTCCCACAGCTGAGCCCGTCTCAGCAAATGGATGTTCCTACCTGCGTTCATCCAGGTCCCTGTGGGGAACCAGGAAGATGTGGGGACCACCAGCCAGGTCTCTACCCAACACGAGTCACCAGGTTTCTACCCGACATGGGTCCTCCGATGGGTAATGAAGTTTGAACAGCGGATAAAGCTCTTCCCGCAGTCGGGGCACTCGTAGGGCTTCCCTTCCCGGTGGGTCCTTTGGTGTTTAATCAAGGCAGAACTCACGGTGAAGCTCCTACCGCACTCAGGACACTCATAGGGTTTCTCCCCGGTATGGATGCGTTGGTGGGTCATCAGGTTGGAGCTGCGGTTGAAGCTCTTCCCGCAGTCGGGGCAGCGGTAGGGTCTCTCCCCTGTATGCGTCCGCTGATGCCGGATAAGGTCCGAGCTGTTCCTAAACCACTTCCCGCAGTCAACGCACCTGTAGGGCTTCTCTCCAGTGTGGACACGTTGGTGGATGATGAGGCTGGAGCTCTGGCTGAACGTCTTCTCGCACTCCTCGCACTTGTAGGGTCTCTCGCCAGTGTGGATCTTCTGGTGGCGGATCAGGTAGGAGCTGACGCTGAAGCTCTTCCCGCACTCAGGGCACTTGTAGGGTCTTTCCCCAGTGTGGGTGCGTTGGTGGGACGTGAGGTTGGAGCTCTGGTTGAAGCCCTTCCCACAGTCAGGGCATTTGTAGGGCTTCTCACCGGTGTGCAAGCGTTGGTGGGTGATGAGCGTGGAGCTGTCGCTGAAGCTCTTCCCACAATCGGGACACTTGTAGGGCTTCTCCCCGGTGTGCAGACGTTGATGGGTGATGAGATGGGAGCTGCGGCTGAAGCTCTTCCCGCACTCCAAGCACTTGTAGGGCTTCTCACCGGCGTGCAGCCGCTGGTGCACCGCCAGGTTTGAGCTGCGGCTGAAGCTCCGACCACATTCCTCGCAGATGGTCGGTCTTTCCTCCTCCGAGCTTCGTGGGGTGGATTTGCAACCCCTCCCCGTGGAGCATCTTCTCGCCTTTTCCTCCCCGTTGACCTCCTGCTCCATGGAGCCCTTCAAGACAGCCTCTTCCGCAAGGTTCTGCCGGTGGGGTTTCTCCTCCGTGTTCTCCATCCCCATCTCATCGCCTGTCAGAGGAAGGGACAAGGAGAGGAAGGGGATTTGCATCCGTGCCAGAGGGAAGGGGAAGGAGATCCTCCCAGATCCATCTCCGAGAGGAAGGTGTCAGCAACGGGGCTGTCCTGCAGCCAGAAGCAATGCTCGGCTGGAGGACAGAGAAGAGAGGACGAAAGGTCAAGCACGTTCTTCCTCACCTGCCTGGGTATCTCGTAGCATCTCCTCTTCCTCGCAGCCCTCTCCGCTCGATCTGGCCAAGGTTTGGGAACGGGAAATCCTGGTTTGGGGAGGAAAAACAAGCTGTGAGTGCGTTCCCCGGTTTGGGTTGAGGGTTGCTCCTGCCCAAGTCCATCCTTACTGGGAAGTCAACGGGCAGGACACCACCAGCGTCTTGTGTCCATAAAACCCTCCAAAACAGCAAGATACAGCCCATAACACCCTCGAAAACAGCAAACTACAGCCAAAACATGGAGTCAGCGTTATAAATACAAAGATCCCTCCTCAAAAGGGAGGCGGAGGAGAAATAAGGAGCTTGTCCTGCTTGGGAAATGTGGTTATGGGAAGAGGAGGACCAGCATCATGACCCTGCAAGCCCTGTCCCACCAGAGCTGGAGTGAGGACAAGGACAAGGGCAAGGTCAGCGACGCCCCTGGCTGCGGCGTGGCCCCAAAATCGCTTGCGCTCAGCCCAAAACCACCCAAGGCAGCACCCAGACGTGAGTGGGAAAGAAACGGGACTGTGATGGACCACCCGGTTCGACCCAGAGGGGTGGGGGTCTGCAACAAGCCTCCCCTAGGCCACTGCCCCCCCTCTGTTGCACAGGGGGAAACTGAGGCAGGGACCACCAACCCCAAAAAGGGCTCCCGTAGGACTGGGGATGAAAAGAGCTCTGGGATCCCCCTTCCCTGTTACTGGGGGGGCACAGCTTTGGGGGGGGGGGGGGGGGCAC